CAGTGACCAGCCTCCTGGGAAAGACAATACAGGCTCTGAGAAGATATGAGTTTAAAAAGGGAATGAGTCACATCCCTACTCTGCTACATAACTGGTTATTTAGCAGGACTGTCTAACTAGTGTTCTCTAAACCTCTGAAGGGTAGGAGGGCTTGGAGGAAACAGAAGGCAGTGCTTGTTTATATCATTATCTAAGGTAGGGAGAAGAAATATTGTACCTTTATTTCCTCATTGCTAAAATATAGTTACAAATCAAAAATGGAAAGTACAACTATGCAGATGTAATTTGCATTTAATTTCTAATTTAAAAGAGATAATTCAGTTTTATGAGTTTATTTCCTTTTGTTAGCATCAAGGGGAGCACCATTTTAGGTAAATTATTTCTTTTACTTGACATTCAGGTAACCACTTAATTCCTTCCACCTATTATTAGAAAATACAAAGGAAAAGAAACCTTTGGTGGTGAATGATGAATTTTAATAACATTCTTGAGAGCACTGGCAAGGACCAGTTTTCACTTGTTAGAAAATATAAGTGAACTTCTGAATAGAATAATAACAGTACTTATTATGTCCCTGGCATGTTGTAAGCAATTAACACATATTAACTCAGTCCTCTCAGAGTCCCTCTGAAGTGGGTACTGTTTATATCCCTATTACATAGACACTGAGAAGTTAAGCAATTTACGCAAAGTCACTGGGTTAAAACTCCTTACTCAAAACTTCTATGCAAAAAACAACTACAGATTAGACACTCTTCTGCCATATAACACTTAAATATGACTTAAATAAATATAGCTTTACTGGTCAGATCTCCATGAATAAAAATCTATATTGCATTAACTTGTATGGGAGGTTGATAAGATGGAGAATGGGAGGTAGGGGAAATAAAACCCCACAATACAGGCCAAGTCATTGTTGCAGAAGGAGAAATGCCGTTTTGCTAATTCTGCCACTCAGATGAGGCACATTTTTGCAATCCACAGCTGGGAGGGGGGCCACCTTTTGGTAATTCATATAGCAATACCATATTGGTAGCAGCTACCTAGCAAACCTTGATTTTAAACTGAAATTTCTGATGTCAATTCAACGTATTAAAAAAAAGAAAGTGGGAAATGCAATTATATTATTCATGATGATAAAGCCTAGTAAAATCTCATTTCAGAAAAATTCCAATTTCCACATAAATCTACAGAAAGAGTGGAAATGTTTAACAATTAATTGAACTACCAGAGAAATTTCTCGCCAAATGCTTCATTTTTGGATCAAACTCAAGTTTTATAGGTATTGTTTATCTAAATCGCTCAGAATGCTGTTTGGCTAGCAGAGATTGTGGGTAGGGGATACAGGTGAAAAAGATTACCTTAGCTGCAAATCGTTTCTACTACTATCAGGAACTTAGAGCTACCAGAAATTTGGATTAGAGTTCTATTGGCCTGGGAGGAGCTTGGGGATTGAGGACTGACTTTGAGGTATGTGCAAATTGTATATGTTTAAATGAACAAATGAATAAACCCTCCTGTGGGGTTTGTGAAACTTGGGTTTGGATAAGAGTTAAATTTCCTTGAAACTCTCTGTAATCAACCATCACCTTAGGGCTCTCAAAAAGCTCCTTCTACCTGTGTGTACAGCGGCATCGGTGAAGTTAACTTGATGGTAACCCTGGAGTATTGGGTATTGCCCTCAAGAAATTCTGGCTTCGTATGAGTGTGTAGCATTGTAGCAAACAAGTCAGCAGAAGAAAAATTTTTGAAAATGTATAGAGAACACCTGGAAAACATTTTCATAAATATATTCAAAGGGCAATGTAATGAAAGTTTTTAAAGAGATGAGGTGATCAAATAACAAAATCCCAAAGAGAATATATAAGAATGATTACATAAATTGAAAATTATCAACAAATGTTCCAAGGTCTTGCTTGATTACAAGGAGTAAAATCCCAATAGTAATCAAATTTATCACATTGGGAAATCTGGACAGGTAAACTGATACATAGGATGTAACAAGCTGGTTCAAGAACAGAATATTAGAGATGATTTGAAAAAATAAAAACCACTGAGAAAGATTTCTGCACTGCATGGTAGATGCTTTATTCTTAATGAATCCCAAAGATGATACTGATGGATTCTTGTTTGGAAGAATAGGTGATAAGACGTACAGAATTTTAAAATAATTATTCTTTTGATGAATTGAGCAGTGGTTATGAATAGGAAAGAAAACCTGAAGTGAAAATAGGACTAATTTTTAGACAACTTCTTGTAGTTTTCAAAGGTCAGAAGTACTCTAAAAGCAAACATAAGAGATTTAATATATCTGTTAGAAAGAAAGGAAAATGGAGTTGGAATTTAAAAAAAAAATTGCAGCTGTAAGAAACTAAGAATGAATGGGAAGTTAGAATACTGTAGATGAAGATGTAAAAATGCAGTGCCTAACATTTTATTTTAATAATAGGGAATATAATTTTTTGAATAAATAGATGTGAATAATTATGTTGCTGAGGTGACTGAACTGTTTATCTGGAAAGGTGAATCTTGGATGTCACCTACCTAAATATGATACACACGCCTGAATGCAGGGAGGATAGGACCCTGGGAAATAAGACAAGATTAAAGAAGGAAGTTAAAGACTAGCTTCAGAGATATAATATGAAGAAATAAAATTTTAAAATACTGCACTCATCTAAGATAAAAAATAATGAGATGAGAATAAAATGAGGAGTTTCTGACTAGGGGAACTAGGAAATTAATATAGGAGATCAGGAAGATTACTATGATGTCTACCACCATTAAAGTCACTGAGTGAAAGGAAGAATATATATCCTGAAGGGAAAGATCACTGCATGAACATACAAGTCATAAATTCAATTTAACCCCCTCCCCAAAGCCATCATCAAAGTAACTTATTGGATGTCACAAGAAATTTTATACCCTTTCTTCAATAACTTTAAGAACTATCTTTTAGAGCTAAAGATTTTAAAAACAGATTTAAACATATAATCAGACAATATAAAATATTATTTTCTATAAATATATTTCAAATTGACCTAGTCATCCTCATAGCACATATTCCAAGTTGAACTTTCTGAGAAGGAACTAAAAAGGGCACAGCAATGTTATATAATGTGATTGACCTTAAAAATCAAGGTCATAAAAATTATTCATTTAAAATAATTTTTAATAAAGCTGCATACCTTATTATCTTTACATAAATTTAGATCATAATGCTAAACCAAATAGTTATTTTACATATTTTATCTGTCTTCACAGTAGGCAAATAAACAGTGCAACATTAAAATTAAATCTCATCTTTTGTTTAAATGACACTTATCCTATGGCTGCTGTGACCGTTAGATGCAAGATACTTCTAATAATAAATCTTATTAATAAGGATAGTTTTCTTAAAGGAACATACCGTAAATTTTTTATGTATTATTTCTATGTATTATTTAAAGTAAAAAGAAAAATCTGTCACTATGAAAGCAAATTTGTTCCTAAACTTTGGAGGCATGTGTAAGTAATCTGTTCTCTGTGGTTTAGGAAGTATGTCAGAAAGTTAAAAGTATTCATATTTAAATTTTCACAAACTAACCAGTAAAACTAAACTTAAAATGAGAAGAATACTTAAGAGATATTATGTAAAATAAACTAAAAATGAAACAAAATAAAAGAAGGTAATTGTTTTATTTTAATGTATTTTCTTCAGATTTGGAGGAATATTTGCACTCACTGTTTTAACTTAAGCAAAAGTGATGTAGAAAATTTAATATCATTACTAGCTTATAGTTAACTATATCACTACCACAAATAAAAGTATGTAAATCAATCCAAATTAAATATAATATGAATGAATCCCTATATCAAATTCAACTTAGACACTACTTGTTGTAACTTCTTTTATATAAATAAGATGCAACTTACTTGAGTAAAAGTAATTAACAGCACCAGCATCTGAATCTTTCTTAATCGTAAACCATAATTATTAAATTGTTTCTAAGTAGCATTTAATATAACAGAAAGCTCTCAGAAACAGGTTTAAAACAAACAAATAATTCTAGCTTAGAGGCTAAAAAAAATAACAATGTCAATCATAAAAATAACCACTGAATATATGCATTAAAAATTGTCTCTTTTAGGACAGTGCAATTAGAATGTGCTCATAGAAGTGCCACCCCCCAGATAAAAGTGTATTCTAAAGATTTCCCTGTACAGACTGTAGTGTACTCTAGCTCTCCACAAACATTATATCTACTCATTTTTACTGCAGTCCATTTAATTTTAATCACACACACACACACACACAGTGGGGAGGGGGAGAAGAGGGAGAAAGAGAGAGACAGAGGCAATAAAAAGATCAACCACAAACAAAATAGTAGATTAAGGGAACTTCATTTTCAAAATCAAAATGATACCCCAGAAGCATTTTAACCAGAAGCATATACACACCAAAAAAATCTTTTTATATATATATAAGATTTATATATAGTGGGTTTTTTCTTCTGTATCTTTAAATAGCCAATATTATCTGGACACATCTTTTTGATATTAAGATTAGGTGGGATTTTTCCCCAAATACACAGGTTGCCTTAAGTATGTGTTAGAGAGTATAATTTTACTTCCACAAAGACTATGAAATTGCTCTATACGTGGGGTAATGTGGAACTCTATAATGTTTAGCAGACTATATAGCCACATAATTGCCCATTTTCACTGCTTCCGATGAGGCCTGACAGCTCACCAGTTTATAACAGTGGCAGATGACTAGAGAAAGAAGTTTCTCACTTTTTAAATTACTTTCAGAAAAGATCTCCTGAAAATTCTGGATTGAAAAAACAAAAAGGTTTATGAATAATGGAACATACTACTACACTCAACCAGGTTTTATATCCTTGCAATATTCCTATCACATGGAACAAGGTCCAGAAGTTGTAAATAAAGCAATGCATTTAAGAACTTCTTAAAGTAATCACAAAAAAGAGTGAATATGAAAAATTATTTCTAATTACCTCTGTTGAGTGACGCTGAACTGTTTATATCTCCAGTAATGAAGGAAGACTCTGACTGCTTTCGGACCGTGTCATTCCACATCCTACGAATTCGGCTCTGGATGAGGGAAAGGAAAAAAAGGAAATGCGCTCACCACACTGTGAATTTTCACACATATTGTTCTTTTTTGTTTCTATTACAGTTATATGAGGCTTATATTTCTGGCATCTGGCAAATATACAACTTCTACATGCTTGTAGTACAGTAGCATAAGAACATCAGGAACTAAATTGATGATAATAATTGGTTCTCATTAAGTGTATTCTAAAATGCCTATGCCAGAAATAATTATAACTACTTAAAAGGAATAAATGTAACATACTATACCAATTTAAACATGAAGATACATAGAAATGTACTCTAGATAGAATTTAATAATTTAAATTTCTAAGGTAAAACAAATTATTTTCATCGTAACTTTTATGGGAATGGGATATTTAAATATGCATTAATTTGTAAGTTTTATTAACAAAAGATTTACTTATGAATTCAGAATCTTGCAAGAAGAAACAGTTTGGTAAGAAAAGAACAGAGTATATTAAAATGTTACTAAACTTAACATTTTCCATAAATTTTGTAAGACCAATGTAATTTTACAAGTTACATACTATCTCAACTTTTCTTTCTTTTGAAGGAGATAAAGGAAGTCGATTCATCTTTATTCATTTCTAGACAGTAGGAAGTTTTATAGAGAACTGAACATTCTTACATCATTATATATATTCTCAAATTCAATTTTCCAAGTGTCTGATAATTCAAGAAAGCAGTGTAATATTTTTCCATTGAGGGGGGACTTTTTTCTGGTTTACTGCTTTGCTACTTTATTTGAGTTAGGGATCAAAAAGTATTAACAATCTTGTGAGCAGGAAACAAAATATTTTCAGAAGCTTTTCCAAGGATGAAAAACTTCTTAGAACTATTACTAGTGCTAATGGTGAAATCAAGCTCACAAATGGGTTATGTTCCAAATATATTTGAATTCCTTGAATAACAGGAGTACCTAATCTTAAAATACTAGACAATTGGTTTTATGAATATTGGGATATGTTTATCTTTTAGAAATGTCTATATTGTTATATAGGTCAGCAAATACATACATACACATACACATACAGCAAAACTAATAAAAGTACAATAAGAAAACTGGTGCAGTAAAACCTGCACTTGAAAAATGTTTCTATTGAAAAATACTTCAAAACTTCAAGCTGAAATACTGAGAACAAATCTCTCACATTTGTTTTATTAGTTAACTAATTAAAAATATTAATTACCCTCTACTGCATGCCGAATACTAACCTAGGAAATACAAAGGGGAAAGGCAAACACAAACATCTTTGCCTTCATGGAGTTGCTAGACTAGTAAGTGACAGACAAATCAAATGTAAATTAACAAAAATAAATGCAAAAGTACAATGTGCCCACAAATCTCCATAGAAGCATTACTTATAGCTGAAAACTGTGAACAGTCCAAATGATTATCAATGGTAGAATGAGTGAATAAATTATATAACAATATACAGCGATGAAAACAAAAGAGCAACATAGCCTCCTGAAGCAACATAGATGTCCAAGGAAAGGAGGAAAACATAAAAGAATATGTATTGGATGATTTCATGTGGATAAGTATCAAACACATGCAAAACAAAAAGTACTGTTAAAAGTTAAGATAGTGACTATGTTTTGAGGTGAATGATTAAGAAGGGTTCAAATGGTTTCTGAGGCACTCTCAATATTCTAATATTTGGTCTGGGGAAGGGTAATAAATCACCGTGCCATACGCTTATATTTTGCATGCTTGTTTAATGTTTTTTATACTGCTTAATTGAAATAATTTTTAAGTGCACGTAACAAGAGAACATGTTTAGGAAATCTGAGAACATTGCACTGAAGAAGTGACATCTCAGCTGAGAGTTGATGGAATTATGATCATTGTTAGGTGACATTTATTTGAGCTGCCCCCATTATCTTCTATTATTATTTTCGTTAGTCTCCCCTACCTGGGCTAGCCACACCTGTTCCCCTGCCATTCCTTAACACACCAAGCACAATTCTGCCTTAGGTTTTTTTGGGGTTTTTTTTTGCCGTACGCAGGCCTCTCACTGTTGTGGCCTCTCCCGTTGCGGAGCACAGGCTCCGGACGCGCAGGCTCAGCGGCCATGGCTCACGGGCCCAGCCGCTCCGCGGCATGTGGGATCTTCCCGGACTGGGGCACGAACCCGTGTCCCCTGCATCAGCAGGCGGACTCTCAACCACTGCGCCACCAGGGAAGCCCCTGCCTTAGGTTTTGTATGATTATTTCTTCTGTCTGGAGTGCTCCTTCCTCAGATACTGGTATGGGTAAACCTTTCACCTCTTCAACTTTCGCTCCTGAAAGAGACCTAACTTGATCACCCTATTTAGAACTGTATTGCACCCACCCAACTCTGCAATTTCTGCCCCCATAGCATTACCATCTTCTACAATATTATTATAATATAGCTTTTTCTTATATTTAATGTCCAATAATTAATGTCCAGTGTCTGCATTAGGTTTGAGGCTCTAGAAAAACAGAAGTTTTGGGAATTCCGTGGCGGTCGAGTGGTTAGGACTCCATACTTTCCCTGCCGAGGGTCCAGGTTCAATCCCTGGTCGGGGAACTAAGATCCTGCAAGCAGCGCAGCGTGGCCCAAAGATAAAAAGAAAAACAAAAATTTTGCCTTTTTTTGTTCAGTGATATATCACACACCTGAAATAATGCCTGGTACACAGTGATTATTATACGTGTATATACATAAAATATGTATTATAAATATAATATTTAAATATTTCAATTCTTTCTATGTTCTAGGTTTTATGCTATGTATTTTTCATGTATTCACTCTCTTATTCATTACAAAATTGAGGTTTAGAGGTTCACATGTCCAATATCACAGACCAAATAAATGGCATAACCAGTATTTGAATCCTGATCTAGGAGATTAACAACTCACTACATTATATCAAATAATTTCTGAAAAGGAAACGGAGAAAAGGGTAAAGTATTGCAGGCAGAAGAAAAGTATACAGTATGTGGCACAGAGCCAACACTTAAATGTTCATGGAACGAACCAGGACAAGCCTTAGAATATGGCAGTGAATAAAACAAGTCACAGAAGACTACACACAATAAGGTACCATTTTAAAGAAAGATTTTAAAAAGGTGAAGTAAACAACATCTTTTCTGGAGGTGAAGAAATTATTAGAAAAGTCAAGGAAATGAAGAACAGAAGCTAGTAGATGTCTCTGGTAGGGAGGCATAGGGATTGGTTAGGGAGAGGTTTCAACAAGGGAAAAACATATGGAAAATATTGTTTCCTAAGTTGGTTGGTGAGTTCACGGGTATTGATTTTATTATACTATGCTTCACAATTTAATATATGCCACATATATTTTTTTATGTTTCAAATATTATGTAACAAAAGTAAATACATTTACAAAGTCAGTAAAACAAATGAAAGATAAATGACAGAACAATTAATGGAAGGTCAAAGTGGAAAGGACAATACTTCAGCTCATAGTTTTTAAAAATACACACACATACCAATCCTATACACATCTCTGTGAATATATGTTTGTGTGTGATTATGGATATTACCACCTTTTTATAAGTGATTAGCACCAGGGGATCAACAGGTGGAGAGGATTTTTAATTTTTAGTCTTGCCAGTCACACTCTTTCATTACCTACATAGTAGCCACATGATCTTTATTACATGTGGATGATTTCTTGTCACTGCCTTTTCTAAATGATCCCATTACCTTTCTAAAGTAATCAAAATAAAATGTGAACTCCCATACTCTTAAAGTACCTAAGGATCTGTCTCCAGCCTTCTTTGACTTCATCTCCTACTCACTCTCTCACCACTTTAGCCAATGACATTCTTCTTATTCCCAAAGTTGCAAGGTCTCACCCACCTAAAGGGCTTTGTATTTGATGTTCTCTCACCTGGAATTCTCTTTCCCTGAACTCCCTTCCTGTCATTTCCCCAAAGAGTCTTTGCCTAGCACTTAATCTAAGTAACTACCTGGACTTTCTGTATCATATAACCATATTTGGTTATCCACCAGCTCTCATAATCTGATATTCCCTGTTGGTTTATTTGTTAATAAATTTTCTGCCTTTTACAATTAGAAGGAAAGCTCCAGATCATGGGGAAAGTTATTTGTCTTTCAACCATTTTATCACCAGAGCTTACAAGACTGCTTGGCATTTAAAGAGAAACTCAATGTTTCTCAAAAAAAATATAACAATTGTGATTTTAGAAGTTCTCTGATGTGGAAAAAGGCATCTATACTCCCAAAAGTTTACCTTAATATCAGTGACTGTTTTAGACTTTGCTCATGGAAGTTCACAGTTAATATGAAATATTTATTATTTTTACCTAAACAGACTAGATTTAAGTGACTATCATTTTATGTAGGGTTGGATTGTTGTAGTTAATCAGAATTAGTATTATATTAAGCATAATAAAAAAACCTAATATTGGGTTTTTGTTCCCACTATTAGAATTGTGATGTTATAACTGTAAAAGTGAAAAAAATGACACAGCTTTAAAATATATACCTGAAATTATAGTCTGCAATAATGACACTAGTAAGTGGTACCTGCTCCAGTTTATTGAGCATGTACAGTATGTTGTGTTTGGTATACATTAGCTTGATCTTCCTAACAACATAAGAAATCAGAAACCACTTTACTTATGAAAAAACTGAGGGTCAGTGAGATTTAATAACTTGTTTTGTGTCACAGCTGGTAGGTACATGGCAAGGCTAGTGAAATTCAAACCGAGGTCTCCCCACCCACCAAGTTTATGGTTATTCTATTAAGCTGCACTGCCCTATCATGTAGCTTAGAAGTAATGCTAAACACTGCACAACTCTGTTTTAACATAATAAATGAAGCTCCAAAGTATTGTTTCATTAAGGGCATATGTCAATAAAATAACTACGGGATAATGGTTGATGCATTCGGTTTTATGAGAAGTATGCACAAACAAATCAAGTTAAATGACATAGAATCTCGGCAATTTAAAAGCTGTGGAAAAGATTGTTACAAAAAAGAGAGTTAAGCATTATCAGGTCGAAAATAAAGGAATGGATTACAAGGAGGTCACGCTGGAAGCATCATCCAGGTATGCCCCAACTCTTATGTGAAACTTCCGATTTCTAACTGACAAATTTAGTAGTCCTAGACTAAGAAATCTCAGTCCACCTAACTTGGAACATTTGCTTCCCCTAATTTACAATTTTGCAACCTCAGTAAGGCATAGAAATAATAAAATAAATTCAAATTATTAATAGCTGTATATTATATGGAGGAATAAGTTTCATGATCATTATGATAATTAGTGCTTGTTAAGTGTTGAGATAGTCTGATAGGTTTGACAGTTATAGGTTAGTTTTAAAATTTTTAGTTGGAAATATTAGATTGATATTAGATATGTAGTTTTATTTGTAAGATAAAAGAGAACTCCTTTAGTGTGAGAAAGTGTTTATTTCCGACAATATTGTTCATTATCTTTGGTTTATAGAGTTTATCAAGTGCTAGTTAGGTGTGTACGACAGTCCAGTCTGACAGTGAATGTGTTTGAGAGAATCAGATATATTAGATTTGTAAATGATATTTAAAGGTTATGAGGATATTTAATTTTCTAAGCATATGAATGGAATTGTTTAGGTGAATTTAATGGATTAAATTTACAAGCTGATTGGAAATTAGTCAAAGAACAAATGAAGTGTTCTTTTTTATATTATATATAAAATTACCAAGTTAAAAAAATAGATTTATAGGTTGAGCTGAGTTAAAAAAATGTTATTGATTTATAACTTTATTTAGGAATTAAAATTCAAGTCTTCTTCAGAAAATTGCTATTAACAACACTGAAAAAAATGATTGTTTTTCCCACTGAACCATACAATCTTAAAAATATTAGTATGCTAGTTGGAATCCAAACTCATTCATGCATGACCCACATATGTCTTTTATTTGACTGGCTCATTTTAGTCATCCTAGAGTTGCTGAACTTTCTACGTAATAATCTTTGGGCTGACATTGTGGCCTAGGAAAAATGGCAGACAGGTTACCTAAAAGTTTAAAATTTCCTTGATGAGGGATAATGCAGCTACTATATTTAATGCTGGACTGATGGGAGTAGCACTTAGATCAGTTAAGTCAATGATGCTATTATAGTATTCTTCACTACCTGAATTGCCCTTTGATTTACCAGCATACAATAAGGTATGAGTTAGAACTGTTTTTATTAAACATACCATCTAATAAGTAAATACAGTATATGATAAAGAATTATTACACTAGTTAAGTGAAGTAATTAACTCAAGAATCATATATCTATGTAAAATATTACTTTCTTAGAATTTTGGGTGAAATGCAAAATTCCTTTCCTTACCTTCTATATTCATTCAACTGGGAATAATCTGAAATCATGAATTATTATGCAAACTTAGACCCTAAACTTCACTTCTTTGCAATTTGGTTTCTTAAATTTCTGTCATAACCATTTTCATTTGAGACACACTAAAACAAAACAACAAATTTGATATGTTAAATACTTGGGATAGAAAATAGATCTCATCAAGAAAGGATAGCAACCCATAACAGAAGATAGGTAAGAGATATTTCATTTTAGTTAACAAATATTGTTTACCTGTGAGCCTGTGGAGTACCGCCCAGGAGTTCGAGAACCAGATGTTTTCCCTGAGCCAATGGAGCTCTCTGTACTTTTGCCACTACAACAATGTGTTCGCAGACATTTCCCATACTCTTTTCGTACCTAGCCAAAAATATTAATTTCTGTTAGCAAGTAATTCATTTCAGCTAGGAAATATAAAATGCATGTGTTTTATTTTAGATAATTAATATAAAATTTTTTTGCCCTACAGATATAAAAAAGTCTGTTCGGCATATATTTTATACATTTTTCACAATATAAAATAATATTCATACTGTCAAGATTGAAATTTTGCATAATTGGAGCCTTTTAAAACACGCAAACACACATATATCCAATCACACTATAATGATACAGTCTCAGTTGGAAAAACAAAAACTTAAGACTCTTCAAGACACTATTTTTAGCTTCACAGATTTGATATGAAGTAGCCTATCTAACTCTTTCTCCATTCCCTCTTCTCTCTAACTTCCTCACTAGATTTTTTTTTTTTTTTTTTTTTTTTTTGCGGTTACGTGGGCCTCTGACTGTTGTGGCCTCTCCCGTTGCGGAGCACAGGCTCCTGACGCGCAGGCTCAGCGGCCATGACTCACTGGCCCAGCCGCTCCGCGGCATGTGGGATCCTCCCGGACCGGGGCACGAACCCGTGTCCCCTGCATCGGCAGGCGGACTCTCACCCACTGCGCCACCAGGGAAGCCCAGTTGAACTGTTCTTTAGGCAGAAGTGTAGTGAGGGAGTTAGAGAGAAGAGGGAATGGAGAAAGAAGGAGAGGGAGAAAGAGAGGAGAGAGAATATTTAAAGACAGAACAGAAAAAAAAGGAATGTGTTGGGCTAAGCATTTTTAAAAATTTTATATTTCTCTGAAGTTTATTTCTCTTAAAAGAGGTCAAATCTGCAACTTAAGACTATAAAATATTCTCAAAATATTTTAAATTCATTCCTTCAAAATAGTTCTATTCAATAATTACAGAGAAATATGATTGCTTTTCTATATAGCATTGTGACTACATTATTAATCCTTGCTGTAGTATAAAAATCACAGGATAAAAGGAGATAATCATTTTTTAGCTGATGTTTTCAAACAGGAAAATATATCAACAATTTTGGGGAAAACTTTGATCATGTTTATTTAAAAATTTTTATTACTGCCTATTTAATCAAACAAGACATACAAAAATAAACAGTAACTGTTCTAAAACTCACCTCCACTAGCAACATCAAGAAAAATAATTACCAACTACTTGTTCATCAATTAAAAACACATTCTAGGATAACTTACTGGTTTTATAGTCACAAATTTTATATTCATTATGAAATAACACTGTATATATGTTATTCTTAGCACTTTATTGATTTCACATGAGTTCATAGTTTCCAGAAATTGTGACAATGTAATATTATTTAAAACAAAGTTATAAAAACATGCTTTTTTGAGAAGTGTTATTTAGAATCAAAAACAAAAAAAGGAGTGTGAATGACACATCAAAATTAGTATTTGAAAAAAAACATTATATCTTAATATATGAACATTCATTCTATCAAAGATATAGCAAAATCAGAGACTGACTATATTCAGATTTGTTTGAAGAACTCACATTCATTAAATCCTTATTATGTGATAGGAACAATGATACAGAGTGAGGTGAATCAAAGCATGGAGGAGGAGAGCCTGATAGGAAGTGGGTAGGCAGACCAAAGAAGGCTTCTCAGAGAAGAGGACTTCTTCAAGCTATTTTTAAAAGATAGGTTGGAATGTGTTGGTTTAGAAGATCAAGTTGAAAGAATGGATAGTTAAGAGAAAAAAGGCATTCAGTGAGAACAAAACAAAGAGGCATGATGTGCTAAGCTTTGAAGCCTTTCTCTGATTTGTAATGTCAAAATTACATATTATTTAATATATTTAAGTTATATTAATGTTTTCCAACCAACCTCTTCTATGCTATATTTCTCAATAATTAGAAATAATTATTTTTATTCACTATTTACAAGCCAATTCATATTTTGTTTATTTTTTAGAAGAAGTAAGTTTGTGCCCACCTGTGTGTGTCCAAGACATGTGTAAGTTTTGGGAGGGTGAGATGAAGAAGCTTCTACTTTTTAATCACTATTTGCTAGGAACTATGCTAGGCTCCTCCCTCAAAATGATTCTGGGAAGGACTTCCCTGGTGGCACAGTTGTTGAGAGTCAGCCTGCCGATGCAGGGGACACAGGTTCGTGCCCCGGTCCAGGAAGATCCCACATGCCGCGGAGCGGCTGGGCCCGTGAGCCATGGCCGCTGAGCCTGCACGTCCGGAGCCTGTGCTCCGCAACGGGAGAGGCCACAACAGTGAGAGGCCCGCGTACCACACACAAAAAAACCTCCTATAGGAAATATGATTGTTAAATGTCCATAAGAGCCAATACTGTCTATAGATTCAATGTAATCTCTTGAAAAAATTTCAATGATATTCTTCACAGATACAGGAAAAACAACTCTAAAATTTGCACAGAACCACCAAAGACCTCAAAGAGCCAAAGCAATCCTGAGAAAGAACAAAGATGGAGGTTTCGTGTTTCCTGATTTCACACTATACTGCAAAGCTAGAGTAATCAAAGCAGTATGGTATTGGCATAATAGACACATAGACAATGGAACAGATGGAGAGCCCAGAAATAAACCCCTGCATATATGGTCAACTAATATCTGACAAGGGATCCATGAATAATTAATGGAGAAAAGACAATCTCTTTAATAAATGGTATTAGCACAACTGGTTAACCACACGCAGAAGAATGAAATTGAACCCCTATCTTATACCATCCACAACATTTAACTCAAAATGTATTAAAAAATTAAACATAACACCTGAAACCACAAAACTCCTAGAAGAAAACAGGGGAAAACTCCTGGACATTGGTCTTGACAATAATTTTTTGGATATGACATCGAAAGCACAAGCAACAAGAGCAAAAGTAGCAAGTTGTACTACATTAAACTAAAAAGCTTCTACACAGCAAAAGAAACAACAGAATTTATTGGCAATCTACAGGATGGAATAGAATATTTGCAAATCATATATCTGAAAAGGGGTTAATACCAAAAATATATAAAGAACTCATAAACTCAGAAGCAAAAAACCAAACAATCCAATTTAAAAGTGGACAAAAGAAATGAATAGAAGTTTTTTACCTAAGAAGACATACAAATGGCTAACATGAAAAGATGCTCAACATAACTAATTAGAAAAATGCAAATAAAATCACAATGAGATATCACTTCACATCTGTTAGAATGGGTAGCATCAAGAAGACAAGAGATAAGTATTGGTGAGGATATGGAGAAAAGAGAGCCCTTGTGCACTGTTGGTGGGAATATAAATAAGTACAGCCATTATGGAGAACAGTATGGAGGTTCCTCATAAAATTGAAAATAGAACTACCATATGATTCAGCAATCCCACTTCTGGGTATATATCCAAAGGAAATGAAATCAGGATCTTGAAGAGATGTCTGCACTCCCATATTCATTGCAGCACTATTCACAACAGCCAAGATATGGAAGCAACCTAAGTGTCCATCAGTGAATGAATGGATAAAGAAGATGTGTTACATATATCTAGGAATATTATTCAGCCACAAGAAGGAAGGAAATCATGCCATTTGCAACAATGTTGGATGGACCTTGAAGGCATTATGCTAAGTGAAGTAAGTCAGACAGAGAAAGATGAATCCTGTATGGTATCACTTATATGTGGAATCTAAAAAAGCCAAATTCATAGAAACAGAATAGATTGGTTGTTACCAGAGGTTGGCTGTGTGGAAATGGGGAAATGTTGGTCAAAGGGTACAAACTCCTAGCCATAAGATGAATAAGTTCTAGAAATCTAAGGTACATGATGATGATTCTAGTTAACAGTACTGTATTATACAGTTGAAAGTTGCTAAGAGAGGAGATCTTAAATGTTCTCACCACAGAAAAGAAAAGATGTTAGATGACAGAGGTATTAGCTGTTCACACTATGGTGGTAATTATTTCACAGTACATAAGTGTATCAAATCAATACATTGTATACTTTAAACTTACACAATGTTATATCTCAATTATACCTCAATTTTTAAAAAAGGAATAAAAGAAAAATCTCCTAGGACTGTTTCTGCAATTTCAAAGAGAAGTATCTGGATTTTTTGTAGGCAAAAAAAAAGGTGAATGATAATTCGATGTCCATATTCTCTGATGTTGGGCCATGTTCTTGACACCCAATAAAAATGCCACCAAAATCGAAAAATTCAAAACACAGAATGCATGAAAGAAAATATACTTATTACTAGTTATTATAAATCATAAAAATAAGCTTCTGAATCAGGACCTGGCACTTTTTTTCATGAAGGGCCAGACAGTCAGTATTTCAGGCTTTGTGAACCAAGAGGCAAAACCAACAATGCCGTGTGTGTACTTATTTTAAATTTTAAATGTATCCATTTAAAAATGCAAAAACCATTCTTGGCTGACTGACTGCAAAAATTAAAAGCAGCTGGACAAATCTGGCCCACAAGCTGTGGTTTGCTGAACTCTGTTCTAATGAATCACAAAATTGAGCTTGATGACATATATTTTTAAAAATTTCACTTCTGTTAAATATGTTCAATATACTAAAAAGTCTAGACTTGTTTTTGGATCCTGAGGTCTGGTATCTCTACCTGGACATCAAAACATTGACATGTATTTGTAATACAAGAAAAATAATAATTGGGAAAACTAATAGGTACTGGCTAATAAAAAATAATTACAATCAAAATCATTCATGCACAAAGCACAAAACTATTTTCTGTTCTGTAGAAAACTTCAATATAAACATTAAAATTTAAAAATGTGTTAGTCCAATTTCCAGCTAATACATAAAATAATTGATAAAGCTGGTTCCCTATATTTGAAGATGTTAGTATGACTAAATATGATGGCCCAATATTTCCTTATTTATATGGACAAATGCCACCCTTTCCCTTAATCTCCTGATTTTGCACCCATCATTCTACATATTGCTCTTGACAATCAGTTATAGCTTTTTTCTACCAAAATCTAGAAATCCTTCCAAGTGCTTAGTCTTTCTGACTTCTCTGAAGTGTTTTATAATACTGACCAGTGTCTACTTCTGGACATTTCCGCCTTATCTTTCATTTAGGTATTACCTTCTCATTCTTCTCCTCAAACACTTTCTTCCTTCCATTTCTATTCTTACTCATTACTCATGTCTCCTACTCTTCATAATCATCAAGTGTGGTAGACTGTTAGCTGTTTGTGATACCCAATTCCTCATCTTCCTGGGGTACAAAAAGTAGAGTATGTTTCCCAGTTTTCCTTGAAGTTTAGTTGGTACTATTTATAGTGTCCTATCTGATGGAAGGTGAGTAGAAGTGATGTGAACCACTTCCTTTTTATACAAGATCCTCTCTCTCTTTCTCAGACTATCTGCTAGATGTCAACACCCAAGGTGGTTGTGGAAATCAAACAGTGAGGTTGACTGAGCTTTCATTGGGCTGTGTCCCTCCATGAGGCACCCTCATCAATTGTGCAATGAGTAAAAAAAACCTTTATTAGGTTAAGTGATGGCAATTTGGGGTGTGTGTACACTAAGTATTTGGGAAGATTCATCCCTCCCAACACAACCTCTTTTCTAAGTTAATTCTAATCCATTAGATTAGAATCCATCCATTCTAACATCATAAACTCTTTTCTGTAACTTACATTTACAGGTCTGAGTCATCAATACAATTCTAGCCTGTATTTAAGATCATGCCAACACATTTTTAATACCTACCACCACATAAAACTGAAACAGGATAAAACTGGATGCATCTCGACAAGTGGACACATTTCTCAACTTTTATTTGAGGTTCCCTTAGTCTCTCAAGCCAAAAATCGTAGAGGTGGATATCTTTACTCTTTATCTTCCAAAAACAATTTTAGGTCTTATAGTTTCTTTCTTAGAAAAAAAATTTCACTTCTTGCCATTTCATTTTCAGAGCCACCTCTCAATATCTCATAATTATTTTTATTACCTCCATTTTACACATGAGGAAACTGGGGCATATAAAGGTTAATTAAATGGCCCAAAGTCACATAAGCCTTTAAGTAGAGGAGCTAGGATTCGGACCCAGTCTTGGCTCAGGGGTCTATATGGTCAACAACTAAAAAGACCACATTTATAATAGAGTTAAACAGTGTAAAATGAGAAAATCAATCTTGAGATTAAAAAGAAAATGCAATTTAAGTATTTAGTTGCTAAAATTAACTTTGAAAATGAATATTTTCATCCTTATAAATGTGAAAAATCATAAAAATAGACAATATAAAAATTAAATATTGCATTCTAATCATCAAAATCATAGATTTTATAAAAGATGCTTTTAAAGAAATACAGAGATCTTTACTAAGTTTCCACGATTCATTTAAAAAATAAATGTTTTTATCATAAAATGTTTAGATAATTATATTTTCTAGAATATATCAATACAAATTAGTTTAAAAAAAAACAGAAAAATATATATTTCCTATGCCATGCCATATATGTACATATATATACATATATCCCATGCCTCCATAACATCTTAGAAAATCTACTCCCTAATACACAAATTCCATGTGTCTGTCAATAAAAATATTAAAGACTATAAGGTCAAATCTATAAGAATATAGTTTTTGTACATTGTCCAAATCAAAATATTTTGATTCTGTTTTTTGCTGTCAAGCACATTTGCCAACTTTTATGCTTTCATTTTATGTCTGTTTTGTCTTCACTATTATAAAAACGAAATCAAATAAGTAATATATTTATTTCTTAGAGACAAACACATCAAGAATGATTTATGTTATGGGTACTTTGCTGTCATAGAATGTATGCTATTTATTCTTGAACAGAGAATTCTAGCTTACCTTCTTTTGTAGGACACAATGGAAAATGAATATAAACATTCCCTGTAGAGAATTGAAAATGGTGAAGAGATACGCCATGATGACTGTGCTTTCATTAATATACATGAGTCCAAAGGCCCAGGTCAATCCTAATAGGCAGAGAAGAGCTATTGCACCTATAACCCATGACCTGCAGAGAGAAGAGAAAATTAAGGGTTATCAAATAATTTGTCTTTAATTAACACAGTCATATTGTATCAACAATACTGACACTGAAAAAACTGTTACAGTTTTATTGACAGAAAATGTAAGACAGGTGGTATAAGTACTTTAAGATTTTAATGAGAACTTACATGTTTTCAAGCTTGAGGAGATATACATGAATGAAAATGCTATAAACACAGAAATTCACTTATGCAAAAGCAGATTTGTACTATTAAATTATTCATGTATTTGCAGCACATACGCAAATGGTATGGAGATGTAATTATGGTGAATGGCAAGGGGGAAGAGTCTGTAAAGCTATGTTAGTCTCCACTGGTCTCATTGGTATGATAACATTTGTTTGATTGGACTCTTTCCATTAATCAAACACTTGTTTGATTGGACTCTTCATCTGATACACTTTTACCCCATTTTTCCAAATTTCCTCTTTTTCCATAAAAAATTTAGTGTTTACAGACAAGAACAGAAGGAACCAGTATATGGAAGATTGTATAAAATTTTAAACTTCTATTTGTCTGATTCTATAGTTAAGTAGAACAAGTGTGAGATACAGTAAATGGGAAAAAATAGTTCCCCTCTAGATCACCATCTACTCTTTCAGCCTTTGGATTGCTGTGTCTTGGGTTATGTTGGACTAGACTTTGGATATCGGGCAATTGGCAGCTTTGTTGAAAAGAAGCCCAATAGCTCAGGACACCTTCATGTCTTTGAAGTGTCTGCAAACTCGCAGGAGAAAATGAAGCTGAGAATGGGATGGAGAGGGATGAACAAAGTAGTCCAGAATGGAAGACAAATTCTCACTCTCACTCCATTCCCTTAGTTTCCTCCAAGCTGCCATTCACAATAGTAATAAATGGGTGACAAAAGTCCATATATTTGTAGTTATGTATTATGTATTTACTATCAAAATAAAATGAATCTTTCCAATAGACGGGAATCCAATAATTGAAAATGGAATCTTCTCAACTTCTCTCTAAGTATATAGAATAGGACCAAAACAGTCTAGATCTCTATACTCTTATGAGCTCACCTTTTCCTTTCCCAGTATACCTTCCTGAACATGGTAATCTAATATTTATTTTTAGCAGACTGCTATCTGCTACTTACATTGTCTAAGGAATAAATATGGGGATTGAAACTTTACAAAATGAAGGGGAAAAATCACATATGTTTACTATAATCTGAAGCTGGGTTTAATAAATTTTTCAGAGAGAACTACGTCTTAAGAAACATATGTCCCAAAGTAGTCAAATATTATTAAAGTCTTATTAAAATTAATCTCAAATATTTACCATTTTCCTTCTACAACCATCAGCCACTATATTTCAGATGTAAACATCCATTAAATTTAATGTGCTTAATTTAAAACTTTAATACTCTTGAATAAAGAATCCCTAAAGGAAGCTTGCCATTGTATGTGGCATGTTTGCTTATACAAATTAGAAAACATCTTAGATATTAATATCTTATTTTACAAGCAGATTCAGAAGTATGGGAACTTTCAAAGTAAAGCTCTTATTTGTTTACAGGTATTGGAATAAGGAAAAATGGGAAGAGTCGCCATTAAGTCAAAATTGCTATTCAGATTTAGAAATAAAATGATAGGATAAAATACTCAAGCCAGCTATTATCCACTAGAAAACACATGATGGGCCCAAGTGTTAATGATATAAAAGAGTGATGAGCCCAACTTCAAAAGAAAAAAATAAGCAAGAGCATGAAGAAGTAAGTGAAATGGTATTGGAGAAAATGAAAACAAAGGACTCTTCACCAGAAGAACAAACTGAAAGTCTACAGCAAGGTCACCCAAAGGTTGCCAATCTTAATTACAGGACATGTAATTTTAAAACGTACAAAGGAAAAAAAGCCCAAATATTAGCATTTGTGTTTATGCTTATAGATTAGTACAGACTTGTAGCTTTGTTTTAGAAATTTAAAAGATACGTTCAAAAACAATTGGATCAACAATCAAGTGACATATCGAATTTGAAAGAGACAATTTTGCATATGTAAAGTTTAATTTTTGAAGGAGATATTTTCCCCTCTTTTGGATATTTAACCTAAAACTTCATTAGTTTCATTTGCAGTTGGGTAGTTTCATACCCCTGAGATCATTTGAAGATGTAACACTAAATCACAAAATAATTTTAGATGAATGATGTCCAAACAAACAACAGAAATGAGGACATATGCAACACAGAGGAGCACACCGAAATGAAAGGAGAAATCTATTAAAAGCAAAACAAGTCTGTACCACATGAAATTGCTATTACTGTGGCACTAAATTCAGGTGATATCCAATTAAAAGAGGTGAAGCAGAATTTTTCTGGCAATACACCTGCAGCATATTTATTCTGCATAGAAGTTGTATGCCTGATTATTTTCCTGCACAGTTTGCTCTTCTGCCTCAATGTGAATGACAGAAGCTCTAATGATTTTTCAGTACTGATCTGACAGCTGGTTCATGGGACCACACTGATAAATGGAATTTATCAGCCATTCAGGTCATTCTTACTTGATGAAGGGTCTGTTATCCTCATAGCTAAAGAATGCATAGACATAAAGACAAGAACACCAACATTAGCATTTTATGACAAAGAATTTCATATGAAAAATATTCTCCTGGTCCCCAAAAAGGCCTCTGTCCCCCACCTCCCTAAAAGGCATCATAAACTTCCCTTTATATCTAAAAGGTAAATGCTAAGATGACCATGAGAACTTAAATAACGAGGAATAAAATCAATTTTACAATACTGCAATATCCCTTATGAGACTAAAAAAATCCATTTTTTCATCATATGCTCATATTACTTGTGACTTGACAGAGACATTTATTTCTAAGAGATCACATTTCTCTAGAGAATGAGAAATCTTATGAGCAATCTGGAAAAGGCTTGGGGGCATACTTAAAATGACAGATTTCATGTCACCTAAAGGTCTTCTTATTGTATCATAGTAGTAGGTAAGATTACTTAATTATGGACAGTACACTTCTGAGTAATTTTAACTTGCAGATGATTGACCTGAGTTAAACCTGAACATTATAGATCTTTAAAAATAATCAACCCAACTACTTTAAAATTCTTTCTGATAGTGCACTGAGAAAAAATTTTGAATAATCTTTTGTAGTAATACGAGCAAACAGATGGCACCTGTTCATTATCACTTATATATACTAATCTATTTAGTATCATCCTGATGAAATGAGATCTAAGCACCAAATTAGTAAAGACTAGTTAGGGGATATTTTGGATATTTTTTTACAAACATAGTTGCTACTCGGTGAATTGTGATAGGACAGAAAAGAAACAGAAAACTGTGTCCTCTTTTCTCTTACCTCTTGCAAGAGGCAATAGTTTCTGATATTATGCATATACAAGTAAGGCTCTTAGAAAGGCTCCAACTGTGATGCATTTTGAACAAAGAGAACCACTGATAAAAAAAACCTTACTCTCCAGGGTGATGAAAGGGTAAAGAATAGAGTGAGAGCCTGGGCTTTGAAGCCAGTTTGCCTGAGGTTTACATCCTAACTTAATTCACTTACTAGCTATTTGATCTTAGGCAAAGATTAATTAGCCTGTGGTTGTGTCATTTTATACATCTATAAAATGGTGTAATTTTCTTGTGATAATGAATGATATACTGTGTATCGAGGGCTCAGAACAGTGTCTGACATATTGTGTTTGATAAATATCACATAGTTATTATTAGACTATTTTCACAATGAAAATACAGAATTTCTTACCCAAAGAATAAAACACCAAATAATAAGGGAGAGGACTGGCAGCGTGAACACAGCCTGAAGGGGTTAGTGCACCTCGGCTAGCTGGGAGGGAGTCCGGGAAAAAGTCTGGACCTGCCGAAGAGGCAAGAGGCTTTTTCTTCCCTCTTTGTTTCCTGCTGCGTGAGGAGAGGGGATTAAGAGCGCTGTTTAAAGGAGTTCCAGAGGTGGGCGCGAGCCGCGGCTAACAGCGCGGACCGCAGAGACAGGCATGAGATGCTAAGGCTGCTGCTGCCGCCACCAAGAAGCCTGTGTGAGAGCACAGGTCACAATCCACACCTCCCTTCCGGGGAGCGTGTGCAACCCGCCACTGCCAGGGTCCCGGGACCCAGGGACAACTTCCCCGGGAGAACGCACGGTGCGCACGTGCAACGTCACGCCGGACTCTGCCGCCGCAGACTCGCCCCACACTCCATACCCCTCCCTCCCCTCGGCCTGAGTGAGCCAGAGACCCCGAATCAGTGGCTCCTTTAACCCTGTCCTATCTGAATAAAGAATAGACGCCCTCCGGTGACCTACACGCAGAGGCGGGGCCAAATCCAAAGCTGAACCCCGGGAGCTGTGCGAACAAAGAAGAGAAGGGGAGATCTCTCCCAGCAGCCACAGGAGCAGCGGATTAAATCTCCACAATCAACTTGATGTTCCCTGCATCTGTGGAATACCTGAATAGACAACGAATCATCCCAAATTCAGGATGTGGACTTTGAGAGCAAGATTTATTATTTTTTCCCCTTTTCCTCTTTTTGTGAGTGTGTATGTGTATGCTTCTGTGTGAGATTTTGTCTGTATAGCTTCGCTTTCACCATTTGTCCCTAGGGTACCATCCGTCTGGTTTTTTGTTGTTTCTTTTTCACTTGTTAAAAATATTGTTTTCTTAATAATTTTTTATTTTAATTATTTTATTTTACCTTACTTTATTTTATTTTCTTTTATCCTCTTTCTTTCTTTCTTTCTTTCTTTCTTTCTTTCTTTCTTTCTTTCTTTCTTTTTCTTTCCCTCCCTCCCTCCCTTCCTTCCTTCCTTCCTTTCTTTCTACTTTTTCTCCCTTTTATTCTGAGCCGTGTGGATGAAAGGCTCTTGGTGCTGCAGCCAGGAGTCAGTGCTGTGCCTCTGAGGTGGGAAGGCCAACTTCAGGACACTGGTCCACAAGAGACCTCCCAGCTCCACGTAATATCAAACAGTGAAAATCTCCCAGAGATCTCCATCTCAACACCAACACCCAGCTTCACTCAACGACCAGCAAGCTACAGCACTGGACACCCTATGCCAAACAACTAGCAAGATAGGAACACAGCCCCATCCATTAGCAGAGAGGCTGCCTAAAATCATAATAAGTCCACAGACACCCCAAAACACACCACAGGATGTGGACCTGCCCAGCAGAAAGACAAGATCCAGCTTCATCCACCAGAACACACGCACTAGTCCCCTCCACGAGGAAGCCTGCACAACCCACTGAACCAACTTTAGCCACTGGGGACAGACACCAAAAACAAGGGGAACTACGAACCTGCAGCCTGCAAAAAGGAGACCCCGAACACAGTAAGATAAGCAAAATGAGAAGACAGAAAAACACACAGCAGATGAAGGAGCAAGATAAAAACCCACCAGACCTAACAAATGAAGAGGAAATAGGCAGTCTACCTGGAAAAGAATTCAGAATAATGATAGTAAAGATGATCCAAAATCTTGGAAATAGAATAGATAAAATGTAACAAACATTTAACAAGGACCTAGAAGAACGAAAGATGAAACAAGCAATGATGAACAACAGAATAAATGAAATTAAAAATACTCTAGAAGGGATCAATAGCAGAATAACTGAGGCAGAAGAACGGATAAGTGACCTGGAAGATACAATAGTGGAAATAACTACTGCAGAGCAGAATAAAGAAAAAAGAATGAAAAGAACTGAGGACAGTCTCAGAGACCTCTGGGACAACATTAAACACACCAACATTCGAATTATAGGGGTTCCAGAAGAAGAGAAAAAGAAAGGGACTGAGAAAATATTTGAAGAGATTATAGTTGAAAACTTCCCTAATATGGGAAAGGAAATAGTTAATCAAGTCCAGGAAGCACAGAGAGTCCCATACAGGATAAATCCAAGGAGAAATATGCCAAGACACATATTAATCAAACTGTCAAAAATTAAATACAAAGAAAACATATTAAAAGCAGCAAGGGAAAAACAACAAATAACACACAAGGGAATCCCCATAAGGTTAACAGCTGATCTTTCAGCAGAAACTCTGCAAGCCAGAAGGGAGTGGCAGGACATACTGAAAGTGATGAAGGAGAAAAACCTGCAACCAAGATTACTCTACCCAGCAAGGATCTCATTCAGATTTGATGGAGAAATTAAAACCTTTACAGACAAGCAAAAGTGGAGAGAGTTCAGCACCACCAAACCAGCTTTAGAACAAATGCTAAAGGATCTTCTCTAGGCAAGAAACGCAAGAAAAGGAAAAGACCTATAATAACAAACCCAAAACAATTAAGAAAATGGGAATAGGAAACATACATATAGATAATTACCTTAAATGTAAATGGATTAAATGCTCCCACCAAAAGACACAGACTGGCTGAATGGATACAAAAACAAGACCCATATATATGCTGTCTACAAGAGACCCACTTCAGACCTAGAGACACATACAGACTGAAAGTGAGGGGATGGAAAAAGATATTACATGCAAATGGAAACCAAAAGAAAGCTGGAGTAGCAATTCTCATATCAGACAAAATAGACTTTAAAATAAAGACTATTAGAAGACACAAAGAAGGACACTACATAATGATCAAGGGATTGATCCAAGAAGATATAACAATTGTAAATATTCATGCACCCAACAGAGGAGCACCTCAATACATAAGGCAAATACTAACAGCCATAAAAGGGGATATCAACAGTAACATATTCATAGTAGGGGACGTTAACACCCCACTTTCACCAATGGACAGATCATCCAAAATGAAAATAAATAAGGAAACACATGCTTTAAATGAAACATTAAACAAGATGGATTTAATTGATATTTATAGGACATTCCATCCAAAAACAACAGAATACACATTTTTCTCAAGTGCTCATGGAATATTCTCCAGGATAGATCGTATCTTGGGTCACAAATGAAGCCTTGGTAAATTTAGAAAAATTGAAATTGCATCAGGTATCTTTTCTGACCACAACACTATGAGACTAGATATCAATTATAGGAAAAGATCTGCAAAAAATACAAACATGTGGAGGCTAAACAATACACTACTTAATAACAAAGTAATCACTGAAGAAATCAAAGAGGGAATAAAAAAATACCTAGAAACAAGTGACAATGGAGACTGTATAGCTTTCTCTGTATATCTTTGTCTGTATACAGCAAAAGCAGTTCTAAGAGGGAAGTTTATAGCAATAATATCCTACCTTAAGAAACAGGAAACATCTCGAATAAACAACCTAACTTTGCACCTAAAGCAAATAGAGAAGGAAGAACAAAAAAACGCCAGAGTTAGCAGAAGAAAAGAAATCATAAAGATCAGATCAGAAATAAATGAAAAAGAAATGAAGGAAACGATAGCAAAGATCAATAAAACTAAAAGCTGGTTCTTTGAGAATATAAACAAAATTGATAAACCATTAGCCAGACTCATCAACAAAAAAAGGGAGAAGACTCAAATCAATAGAATTAGAAATGAAAAAGGAGAAGTAACAACTGACACTGCAGAAATAAAAGAAATCATGAGAGATTACTACAAGCAAC